ACAATTTTAACAATACTAGAGGCCCGGTGCACAAAATCTGTGCATGGGGGTGGGAGGGTTTCTTCTCAGCCCAGTCTTCACCCTCTCCAATCTTGGACCCCTTGGGGGATGTCCGACTGCCAGACAGGATCAGGCCTAAACCGGCAGTCGGACATCCCTCTCACAATCCCTAACTGCTCATCTGCCTGTTGGCCTGGTCGCCCCCAACTTCCCCCCCTGCTGGCCTGGTCACCCCATGTAGCCTATTCAGTCGTCTGTTTGGTTGTGATGGTTGCTAAGGCTTTTATGTAGATAGATACTGTGATAAAAGGTTATGCAAATGTGGCATTATAAGTAAAGTAGGACAAGCCTTGCAACACCACACAGCAGTAGACCTGACAGACAGAGGGCTGCACATCACTGTAAGCAGGGGCATGTGCAGCGAGGAACGCTGGGCAAAGGCACGAGCTACGTCCCGGCAGGCGAGATTTTGTCACGCTACTCCAAACAGCTCTCACTTTAAAATGTATGAATTGTTTTCTTCTGAAGTTTTCTGTGTTAGACTTTCAATTTCACCACGTGTAGCCGCGGATAACTGAAAGCACAGAAAGCGAAATGTGGATAAGGGGACCACTGCGTCTACCTCGCTTGTCACGGAACCTCTGCCAAGATGTGCTTCTGCTCCAGGTCTCAGTGCCCCGTCTCAGACTGGCTGTTAGCAAAACTGTCTTCGACTTGTTCAGCCTCATTTGTTTGTCTTTTTGTCAGTTGTTTGTTTATTCCCCTTGACAACTGAGAGTAGTGGGTCCTGCCTGGGCTTTTCCCAGCAGGGCTCCTCTGAGGGTTAAAGCAGATCTTTGGAATCTGCACAGTCCATTTGTCCTGGATCTATAACAAATGGCATTCAACAGTCACTGGACCAGGCTCCGTGAAACCCAAGGCAAACATGCAGGGTCTGACCTCCAGGCCCTCACAGACTGAAGGGCAACAGGTACATACAGATAAGTGTCAGAAAGTATGATAGACTCCAGATCGCAGAGGATTCTATCCCCATACAAAGTACCTCCATCTGTGACAGTACTCGCTTGCACTTGGTTAAAATCCTTTGACTACCGAAACCAGTTTGGCTCAGTGAATAGAGCATCAGTCTGCAGACTGAAAGATCCCGGGTTCAATTCGGGTCAAGGGCATGTACCTTGGTTGCAGGTGCATCCCCGGGGGCAGGGGGGCGATGCAGCAGGCAGCTGATCGTTGTTTCTCTCTCATCGATATTTCTAACTATCTCTCTCCCTTCCTCTCTGTAAAAAATCAATGAAATATATTTAAATAAATAAATAATAAAATAAAATCCTTTTATTAAGAAACGGGCCTCCTTTTTGGTCAGTAGCAATGAGATGAGATTTAAATTTAAAATGAGAGCACTGCTGGAACACGGAACACATTGACTTGGGTGTCTCTGAAGCAGAAATGATGGTGTTGGAGTCTTTCCTACAAATAGACTTTCAAAAAGCAGAGAAAGAAAGCAGAACAACTCCTAATTTATGCACCATAATTTAAAGCTGGAGTCGGCAAACCTTTTCGGTGAAAAGACACATAATAAACATTTTAGACTTTGCAGGTCACAGCCAAAGACCCGACGTAAACAGATGAGCGTGGCTGTATTCCAATAAAACTCTATTTATTTGTGAACAATGAAATTTGAATGTCATATAATTTTATTTTCCCAGTTCATAAAATGTTATTCTTCTTGTTAATTTCTTCCAATCACTTGCAAATGTGAAAACCATGCTTAGCTCTGGGAAACGCAGGCCGAGGCCGAGGGTGGTCCAGGCCATCGTCCGCCAGCCCTGCTGTCCAGGCTGTGGGGACAGTCCAGCAGCAGCCCCAAGGACACACAGAGCTCAAGCCCCACCCTCGTCGGCGGAAGGAGAACCTGCATCATAAGAACATCATCTCATGTCTGATCTGCACATCCCAGTTTGAGGACTGGCTTATAGTCTACACAGACTGATAAAATACAACTTCCCAGAACAGTGGCCCAGGGAAAGTTCTGAGCTTCTCCAGGCCTCGGTTTCCCAGTGTGCGAGAAGAAGATGACAGCATTGTCTCCCTCAGCATGGCTGTGAGACACACACACACACACACACACACACACACACACACACCTGAAATGTTATCTGTCGTTACTATTACAAAATCTCACACTATGTTACTTCCACAGCCACCCTCTGAGACAGGCACTTTTTATCCCATTTCACAGAAGAAACTGTGGCCCAGAAAATCGAAGTCATAGAACAAAGGTCTTCCTGTCCCCAAATTTAGTGCTGAGGGTAACGAAGGGCTCAAGGGTACAAAAGGGGACACAGTTCCCCAGTGCCAGGTCTTCATGTCCATGTCTCCCTTCCAATGGCTCACTCTCAGAGGCCTCTTTCAGCCCGTGCTCCTGAGGCACCCACTTCCAGTGAAACATTCGTCTTACATAAAAACTGCTGTTTGAAATTCTAACCCTGCTATTTTGGCTTCTGTAAACACTTGCTTGCTTAAATAATAAGGAAAATAAGACTGCTCCCATTCCAAAGAGGCCATAAACCTTCCCGTGACGAAGTTATCAGTGCTGGTGCCAGGCCAAGCCTTTGGTTGATGTCTCAAAGCCCCAGCACACGGGGCTCTTTAAGAACTTGGGACTGGAAAACTTTATATTTGGGAAACAAAGAGAGTAAAAAGATATAAATAGGGAAAGTTCCTCCATGTTGGGGCCCAGAATTTGAAATACAGTTTTCTCTCATCCCTCACATAATGATAAAGTACAACTCTATCTCTCTAAGTGTTACTTGATTCTTCTCTGGTCTTCTGTAACTCCAGGGCACAGCACCCCACTCGCCATACAGGGACCTCCCTGTGTCTGTACCCAAAGCTCCTCATTCGCTCCTTGAAATGTATCTTCCACTGACTCATTAGTGTTCTTTACAACTCCTCTTTCTGGTTACAGATTGTAAGTGTTCCCTAGCTGAGCTTGTAGTCACTGTTTTTTATTATATCTGTAGGGCTCAGGGGGGGAAAAGGCAATTCCTTTATTTGAGAATCTTGACATTTATTATCATACTAAAATTCTCAAGATAAAATTGCAGTTTTCCAGAATGTGATTCTATTTGCAGGACAACATGCAATAAATTTATTTTAGGGACAGGTAAAACCTAAAATATATTAGAATGCAGAAAGTGCAGACCCCAAGTAAAATGAAACAAAGGTGTTAGGTACGGACACCTTGGCTACTGTCTCTCACATATTAATTGGGGTGACAGAGCAACAGGTTCTCAACACAGCTTGGTCTGCTTTCAAAGCTGCTGCTCTTTCTTGGAATCAAAACTTCCTTCTAACACCTGAAAAATCAGCACATCCTATCTATCCCCTGGCCACCTCACCGCTGAGCACGAAATGATTGTCGCTGTTGTAGTGTTGCAATTAGCAACACCTCTCACTTGGACAGAGATTCCATACTCATCATTGAACTGATCTGCCAAAAAAAACTTAGCGATGGCCACACAGAACATTCTCTTCTCCATCCTACAGAGAGTTGGTGTGACTTGAACAGTCAGGCAGTGGGGAGGTAGTGTAATCAAAGCTAAAATTCGGTTCCTCTGAGTCCCATAGAAAGGAGGTCATTTTAATGATATTGTCTATGGTTTTAAAGCACTGTAGAGTCTAGAAAGCAAGGTCGCTCCATCCCTGCATTCTATCCATTCAGGGGCCTGGGAGACAGGCAGATAGGAGGGGAGCCATGGAGGCAGAGTGCAAGTGGTATTATTAAACACGTTTGGGTGATGGGCCCAAGAGGCAGAGTCTATGATAAGTGCTTACCTGCTCTACTTGATGCAGAAGTGCAATTCCCAGGGAGCAGAGGAAAGAGAAAGGGAAGTGAGGCAGCAAAGGAGGAAGAACAGACAGAAGGGCGGGGCGCTGACCTGACCACTGCTTAGCTTCTCTAGGACTAGTTGCTGATCATTCAGGATTGTTTGAAAAGTCCCTCAGAGAGGAGAAAGAGAGAAAAATTGACTTATCAGCCACAGTCTCCCATTGATAAAGGCTCACCACATGGAGAGTTCACTTCCCAGCTCTTCCTGGTTGCATGGTGTCTCCTGCCTCTGCAACAACAGCAGACGAGAGGCCCAGAGCACTGCCCGGGGCAAGGTGCTGCTGGCTTATGCTCATGTGCAGCTGACAGACTGGGGAGAGCAGAGCCCATGCAAAATTGGCTGCAGCAAGTGGAGATTGGGGTGAAACAAGAGGTCAAGGATGTGAGGAATAGGTGAGGCACGAGGTGAAGTAGATATGAGGGATGTTTGATACCTGTCAAGTACGGTAAACCAGGTCACTGACACCCACAGAGTCCATTTATCTTACTCTCACCAAACACAATGCTGTCTCTATGTCTACGTCCTTAAGTGTGAATGTGCACACATAGACCTCATCCCTCAGAGCAGTTCAGATGTTATTGGGAGAGTCTTCTTCTTAAGGGGAAGAACATATTTAAAATAAGTGGACAACAGAATAAAAAATAAAAGGACTATGAAGACAAGGTATTCATTAGCATAACCTGCAGGAAAGAGCCAGATCCTAGAGAGCAAAGGACTTTTCAGATGTCTATGGACCTTTCTTAAATTATACTTCCCCCCAGGTTTGGGGCACAGTTAGAACATACAAAACCATAGCCTCCATATTGCAGAATGAGAGCCAAGATGTGGTTTCAGACAGAGGAGGGGAGGCAGAAGAAGAGGTGAGTAAGGAAGGCGGGGAAGTATCAGTCACCTGCTCTGGAACTTGGGGCTCAGAAACCTTAGCAATTCCACTGATGCTGTCACTGAGGTGATGATGAACATTATTAAAGAAGCAGCATCAATGCTTCCCACATAAACCCTTTACAGCGCTTCTTCCATCATCTCTATGACTTAATAAAGAGTGACGAGTAGGAAATCCTTACTAGAAATCAGGGATTCATGCTGAAAATGTTCAGAAAAAGTACATTCATTCAACAGGCATTTATTGAATGGACACCATATGTTGAATTCAGAGTTCGGCACTGGCATTAGTGTGGATCATAAAAACATGATCCACGGGCTCTAGGAGCTGAGTTAGAGCAGCCACAACAAACAGGCTTCATCGTCTGACGTCCTATCCAAACTCTTCATGCAAGCTCTGCATCAACCAGTAGACATTTCTGGCCTGGGCACTGGGACAGGGGCCGGCAGCACATAGGCCCTATCTTTTGTAGCTCTTGAAACATTCTAATCTACTTAATCCTCCGGATGGGGGGTGAATCTTCCAGAAGGCCATAAGGATTTGAGCTGAAAAGTTCTTGGGGGGGGGAAGAAAGGATGCCTAAAGTTGTCCAGCAGCTAAGGGGCAAGTGTCATTCAAACAGCAGGTGGTAGTCTGGCGGGCTGTCTCTCTGGCCACAGGGCTCCTGCAGCAGCTCTCCCCCCGAAACAGTGATGATTTCCTCCTAAAAAAAAAATAAAAATAGAAATATTCACCTATAATCAACAAAGGGAAATAAGCATCCACCAGAGAGAAAGAATTAGAGGTAGAAAAACTAAGCATATGTACCTGCCTCCTGCCTCCTCCTCATTCAAATTTCTAGAAATCACAGGGGGAGGGGGGAGAATCTGCTTTTAAAAAATAAATAAATACATAAAAGTATGGGAAAATAAGAAAGGCAATCAACAAATCAAAAATGTTGAGGAGAACTTGAAAACCAAAAGATATACAGGACGAGGTTTTCAGAGGCGTTACTGTGGGGCAAGTACCAGTGGGCAGGCTGAGCACCCCCAGGACCTCTCCACAAGGTAGAAAGTAAGGAGAAGCACATAGTTCCTTAGGGAGGCAAAGAGACCTACACATTTCAAACACTCCCATCTCCAAAAGATGAACTGCTCACCATCAACTCCAACCCTGACAGGATAAAGAGAATGAGATTGGGAAACAGGAACTGTATCCACTGATGGATAAATAAGAAGCTCAAAGTAAAAAAAAAATCACCTCCTCATTCAAAATCTGTAACTATTTAAGGAAAATCAAAAACATGAAAGAAAAATGGCAACCTTGACAACAGAACTTTGAGAGTATAAAGATCAAAATGCTTGGAATGAGAAGTACGGGCTCCTAATTACGATTCAAGAAAAGATCAAGTTCATAAAACAAACAGAAAGAACCTTTAAGAGATGTGCATTAATCTCCTCGGTGGACTAAGAAGATAGAGCATCCATGAGACAAGAATGGGCTATTATTTAAAAAGAGCCAATTAGAGAATGCCTGGACATGACAAAGCTTCACATTTAAATCACAAGGAAAATCTCAACAGAAGAACCGAAGATAGAATGGACATAACTACAGAGCAATTTAGTCGCTGGAAGAACCAGCACATCAATAAGAAAGAGACACCCAAGAAGAAAAATAGGCAAAGTATCTGAACAGATAATTCACAGTAGGAATCCAAGAGGCCATTAAACATATGAAAAGAGCCTCAGCATCAGAGGTACTCGGAGAAATGCAAGTTAAACAACAGTGAGACCCAGTGTCTGCCCATCTGATGGGGAAAATGCAAATGACTGACAGTCCCCGCGCTGGCAGCAGGGTGAGGACACAGCCCCGTGCAGCTTTGGCAGGGGAATGAGTTGGTACTACATTTTTGGAAGGCATTCTGGCAGATACTTTCAAATTAAAATGTGCACAGTCTTCTTCCCAGAAATTCCAATTTGAAGGTCCTTCCTAGAGAAATAACCACACATGTGCCCAAGCTGATATATGCGAGCCAGTCTCTGCAGCGCTGTTTGTGACCATCACAACCTGGGAGCTCCACCAGTGCTCATCAAAATGAGGAGGGAGTAATACTTTCAACAATAAAGAATTTAATCTTGTTTAAAGTAAAAGAAAGTGTTCATGATCTGGAAAAAAGTGGGGGGGTTGGGGGGGGCCTGAATTCTAATACACATCCATGCCATGGAATACCATGGGTTTTTACCAGGATGTGCACGTGAGTTGGCACGGAGATACCTCAGTGCTCAATGACAGCCAGTGTCCTGATAACTCACAATGGCAGGTACATTGGTCCAATACTTCACAGTGATGTCTCACTGGAACCCTAAGAGGTAAGTGCACTGGGCACCGGGCACTGGGTCAGGGGTCAACTGCACATATGCCATATCTGTCACATTTCATGAGACATTTCCATCTTACTCAGAGGGAAACTAAGGCACAAGAGTGTGAGTAGTTGCCCAAAGTCACGTACAGCCATAGAGTTGGGATTTAAAACTTGGCAGCCTGATTCCAGGGTCCATGCTTTTACAAAATACATTCTATAATATACTAAGCATGTTTAAAATCAAATTGCTGGGCTATTGGACAATGATTATCCAGTTTATAAAAAATAAAAACTATGTATGTCCTCTTATACATACATTTCTATATTAATGCCCAGGTACATGGTGGAAGATGGAAACTCGACTTTGACTTGGTATTATATTTGATTTTTCTTAGAATGTAATCTTAAATTAATTGTATAATTAAAATTTTAACTTGTAAAACTGGTCACCAGATCTCCACATGGGCCTAGACAAGCTCTCTCTTCAGTGTTAGAAACCAAATTGTCAGTCTCAAACCTTAGATTTGGGAGAGAATAAGCCCCTTCAAAGACATCTGGGTGAGCCTTCCCCTTCAGAACCTATCTACAGCATCTCTGAGAGTTGAGCATTTACCCTTTGCTTGATCACATCCAAGGACACAGAGCTTATTGCTGCTCAAAGCAGCTTACCTTGGACAGGAAAAGGAAGCAACGTGGTTTAGTGGGGAAAGCACAAGCTTGAGAGGAACACGGCCTGAGGCTTAACTCCTAGACCCAGCTGTATCTGCCTTGAAAACTTAGACAAGCTGCTCAAGCTCCCTTTCCAGATCTGTGAAATGGGACTAATATGCCTCCCACACAGATATGCCTCACACACAGAGCTATGGTGAAGATGAAATGAGAACATGTATATAGAGCAGCAGGCACAGCGCTTAGCACAAAGAAGGTGCCAATATTCTCACATCCCCTCCCTCTCTCTTTCCTGTAGTTATTAGAAGGCTCTTCCCAACCCAAATAGAACTCTGCCTTGATCCGGGTTAGCCTAATCTCCCAGGCAGTACTCTCCTCCAAGTGTCTAGGTATTTGGTAAATGAGTGATTTTCTATGTGCTTTACAAATAAGATCAGGTTAAAAATAGTCCCTAGAGCTTCGGGACATCCATAAAGAAAAAGTCATAAAAATCCAAGAGTCCCTATTTAAAAAAAGCCCAGTGAGACAGCCAACTAGTTCTGCAGGACTTTCTACCCCTGCAAAGCTCAGGTAGAGGGTAGACCTCTGAGGTCCCACAGCTCTGTCTCAGAATCCTGGTCCTGCCTTCCAAGTCACCAAGTTCCACCTTTGTCTTTCTTTCAGTTACTATTGATGCCAGTAGCCACAGTAACACAGAAATTGCTTCTTTCTACATATCTTATTTAGAAGGCACCATCTGGAATCCAAGATGGCTGCGCCCAGGTAAACACCTAGCCGCAGCGCACACAACAATTTCAATAAAATACAACTAAAATATAAAATGGACATTACCCAGAACTACAGGAAAGTTGACTGACTGGAAATTCTACAGCAAGAAGCAAGGAGAAAACCAGAAGGAAGCACGGAGGAGTTGGAAAAGCCCAAGGTACGGAGACACACGGAGAGGACAGAGCCGGAGAGGAGGGTGGCTGAGTGCCTGGCTGGCGTTCCCTAGCAGGAAGGAGATAAACTCTCCGACTGCGTTGGGCCCCAGTTGTGACTGCTCTGAACCCCAGTTCTAGGCCAGACCCCGGGGACCCAGGCTCACACAGCGGGAGCTGGGCTGTAAGGCGGAACTCCGGGGGAGCGGTGAAAGGAGGTCCCGGAGGCGCGCACATTGCGTGCAGAGAAGGGATGGTCGGCTGTGCCGCGGGATTGCCCTGACGGGAAGGAGACAGGGGCTCCAGACTGCTCTGAACGCCACCTCCAACTCCACTTCCAACTGAACTGAACCCCAACACAGGGCTCATTGGGGGAGAGCATAGACTGTTTGGTAGCAGGCGAAAATCGAGGGCACCTTTCTCTCAGAGGCGCTTGCAGCGAGTACTGAAGGACCCTGGGGATTACTGAGACTGAATAGGGCAGGGCTGACTGAAGCCAAGGCTGTAGGCTCCATCCTGAAACCCCACCCCATCTGTAGCTGCGAAATGCGACAACGAAATAGATCACAAATAAAGAAATGGAGGACAAAAAGCGACTGGATATAGAGTTCAAATCTACGCTTATAAGGTTTTTCAAGAATTTCCTAGAAAAGATCGATAAGACCTATGAGGATATGAAAAGAGATCAACTAGAATTAATAAGGAATCAACAAGAAATGATAAGGGATCAACAAGAAATGATAAGGGATCAACAAGAAATGATAAGGGATCTACAAGAAATAAAGAATACATTCTCTGAAATAAAAAATATTATACAGAGTCCTAAAAACAGAATGGAAGATCGCAAGAATCAAGTCAAAGATTTGGAACATAAAGAGCCAGAAGACACTCCTCCACAGAAGCTAGAAGGCATGAGAATCCAGAAAATTGAAGATAATGTAAGAAACCTCTGGGACAACTTCAAGCGAACCAACATCAGAATTATGGGGGTACCAGAAGATGAGAGAGCAAGATATCGAAAACATACTGAAAGAAATAGTGACAGAAAACTTCCCCCACCTGGGGAAAGAATTAGACTTACAAGTCCAGGAAGCGCACAGAACTCCAAACAAAAGGAATCCAAAGAGGACCACACCAAGACAAATCATAATTAAAATTCCAAGAGCAAAAGACAAAGAGAAAATATTAAAAGCAGCAAGAGCAAAGAAGGTAGTTACCTATAAAGGAGCACCTATACGATTGTCAGCTGATTTCTCAACAGAAACCATGCAGGCCAGATGGGAATGGCAAGAAATATTCAAGGTGATGAATAGTAAGAACCTACAGCCAAAGATAATCTATCCAGCAAAGCTATCACTCAGAATCGAAGGTCAGATAAAGAGCTTCACTAATAAAAAAAAGCTAAAGGAGTTCATCAACACCAAACCAAAGTTATATGAATTGCTGAAGGGGGTTCTTTTGGAAGAGAAAGTAAATAAAGATAAAAATTATGAACAACAAATATGTAACTATCAACAAGTGAATCTAAAAACCAAGGAAATTAAAAAAAAATCTGATGAACAATATTAACTGTTGAATATAATAGAATCAGAGGTATGGAAGGGGAGTGAACTGACGATTCTTGGGGAAAAGGGGAGAGGGGGATGTGGGAAGAGACTGAACATAAACTGTGCACCTATGGATGAGGACAATGGGGAGTGGGGAAAGGGCAGAGGGTGGGGTGGGAACCTGGTGGAGGAGAGCAATGGTGGGGTGGGGGGGGGAGGAACATTTGTAATAACATGAACATTAAAAACTTATTAAAAAAAAAATAGAAGGCACCATCTGTCTCAATATGAGTCCTCAGCAGACAGAGCTGTGGGAAATGATACTCCCTATCACTTTGTAGTTAGAGTCCTGGTGCATACATCCCCTCCTTTAATGCTCAGAGGATCTGGGCTAAGTATTATTACATCCATTGGTCTGGGAAGGAAACTAAAGCTCAGAGAGATCAAGGAAGCTGCCCACAGTCACACACATACTCCATGGTAAAGCTATAGTTGGAACAAGAGACATGGTAACTCTACAAGGAAAGCTTCTCTAACCATGGGGTTGCTTGTTAGGTTCCAGCTAACTCTACAAAGCTGCAAGAGGCCTTTCTAGAATATCCCCAAGAGGGACATCCCGGAGATGAGTTGGGAATGAGAACTGGTCTTGGACAGAAGGCTGGTCAACCAGCTCCTACGTGTTGACAGTAGGGACCACTCAGGTACTCAAGGAAAGAAGAGGGCTGGGGACCCTCCTGAGGAGCCCACATGGGTCAGAGAGAAGACAGACCTGCATTGCCTGTATCTAGACAACTTCTGGTCTCTTCTAGCCCAAGTTCCATATCCCTGGAGCCCTGTCTGTTCACTCTCCATCCCCATCTCATCAAAAACCTCCAGCCTGGCGCTCCCTTCAGCTCACGTTTCTACCAGTTTTATCCCCTGAGCAGCACCATTAAGAGCACTACCTTGTGGAAATCAATGAGATCGGTGAGCGTTGCATGGCGATTGGGGTCCACTCCCAGGAAGCTGTAAAAGTCCCCAGAGGCATCCACGAGAAAGTGCTTGAACCCCTTCTGCAGGCGATAGGAGAGGGTGTAGCCCCAGATTTTCTCACTGACCCTGACCAGAAATGCTCCCTCTGTCATGTTCTCAAGGAGATCTTCTGCATCTTCTCGGCTAATGATTCCTGGTTTAAAAGAGAAAAAACAAACAAAGTCAGCAGGTTCTTCCTGCTCCTCAGCCTGTGTCAAAGGCAGGGAGGAGCCAGCCGGGGCTGTCCAGCTCTTGCCTCAGGCCACTGAGGGGCCATCTTGGTCCAGAGCAGCCAGCTGTCTGCCTGGGCAGAGTTCCCACAGGCCTGGGTTTAGCACACTTTCCTCTAAATTAAGCCACACTCATCTGGATCCATTACAGAGAATTAGTAATGACCCAGAACTGTAGCATCCATCCATTACAAACACAAGTCAGCAGCATGGCCCTGTGGAGAGCCTTGATGGTGAGACCTGGATGACTCATGATTCCCTCCGTTATAATGAGCACCTGGAAAAAGTACTTCCTCTTTAGAAATAAAAAAGGCTTCCTCTGTCTACCTGTGGACAGTAAGCAAGCAATTTCTTAATAGAGGCACGTAATTAAGCTTCCCTTCGCTCAAAAAACAAACTCTCTCCGATTCTTCAATCCTCTACAATGTGGTTTTACCCAGTATAACAGCAAGTTAGAAAAATAAGTCCCTCTGAGTGGTTGAGTTACGAAGGGCAGCCTCTCTGGGCCAAAATGGCAAAGCTCATATTTCTGTATTTCAGTCCCTCCTCCCAACTAGCCTCCCCACCCCCAACCACTCCTCACCCCTCTGCAGGGTCCCTTGATTCAGGGTGCAGCCTGTTCACCCTCCAGGAAATGGCTCTATCCCAGGAGGCTGCAGGGACAGCCCATCTTGGGGCTTTCGCAGCATCCTGCCCAAACTCTAAGTATATTAGTACAGTCTGTGGGCAGCTCAAAAACAGAGCCTGTGGCCCTGGGAGCATGTGGCCCAGGTCTCCCTTTAAGACAGATCCTGCTGCCAGGAGCAACATGGAGAGCTGGCAGCCTCCAGCTGCTGCATCTTCAGGACCCGTGCTGAGGCATGCTGCCCCCAGGCTGCTTTCAGCACAGGGGACACCAGACCGAGACCCCCCTGACTCAGAGCACAGGGGTTCCTACCCAATGTGGGTCTCCTCTAGTGAGCAATCTTTGCTCCGGGCTTCCCGTCAGCCTGACTGGGATTTCCTCCAGCACTAGGCTCTCCCTCCCAATGGTCCTTTCTGCCACCTCTCCCTTCCTAGGAGTCAAACCTGCACCACATCTGAAGAATCTGCTACCCTCTCCTGCTCTGTGTCTGCTTTAGCTTCCCAGGCATTTCCTCCAATAAATCTCATGTACTTCTGCTTCTGGAAGACTCAAATAGACACCAGAACTGTGATGTTATATCCCAAGTACCGGGGATGTAGAGGGACTGGTTTGGAGCAGAAAACAAGTGCACAGATTAAAATCACAGCACAGCCCTAACCAGTTTGGCTCAGTGGATAGAGCATCGGCCTATGGACTCAAGGGTCCCAGGTTTGATTCCGGTCAAGGGCATGTACCTTGGTTGCAGGCACACCCCCAGTGGGGAGTGTGCAGGAGGCAGCTGATCAATGTTTCTCTCTCGTCGATGTCTCTAACTCTCTCTTTCCCTTCCTCTCTGTAAAAAATTCAATTATATATATATATATATATATATATATATATATATATATATATATATAATTTTTTTTTTTTAAATTACAGCACAGCCTGGCAGGCATGGCTCAGTGGTTGAGCATTGACCCCTGAACTAGAATCATGGTTCAATTTCTTGTCAGGTCACATCCCCATGTTATAGGCTTGATCCCCAGTTGGGAGCATGCAGGAGGCAGCCAATCGATAATTTTCTCTCATGGTTGATGTTTTTCTCTCTCTCTCCCTCTGAAATCAATATAAACTGTTTTTTTAATCCCAGCACAGGAACTTGATCAGCAGGCGGCCATAGGCAGGTTACCTAAGCCCCTCTGAAACCGAGTTCAATGGCCTCATCTACTAGTATTAAGTGGTATTGATAACACTACCTACATCATAGGGTTGTCATAAAATTGTCCCTTGTTTCCACTAAGTACACTAAGCACACTACACATGTACTAGTGTTGGGTGTTGCCTTCTGCTGGTAGCAGTGACGCTCATAATGCTGCCAGGCTGTATTGCCCACACCCCACACCCCCAATCCTCTCAAACAGAGGCTGCTGAGGGGACCTCCTCTGAATGGGACTGGTCCTGGGCCCAGCCTGGGCCATTCTTAGGAGACTCTCCAGGTGTCTCAACAGTAGGCATCTGTGAATTCTGCCCCTTCGTTGATACTTACCTAGAAATCAAAATCATTTTGACTCGAGACCAAAGGTGATACAGCCTCATAGTCAGGATGGCAAAGACCTTTTCACAGAAAACCAGCCCCAAGAGAACAGGTTGGTGGCTGGGGCATGCATGATGTTTGCAAGAAAAACCTGCTATGCTCTCCTGTCTCGTTCACTCTGCCCTCCCTATCTCCCCACCCCCAATTGCCTCTGAGCCAAGTATTGTGTGATCAATCCCACCCCACCCACCTCTGCCCCTTCTAAGCACTCAAGCACTCTACAGTCCAGAGTAAGGGAAGAGGAGAAGGCCCCACCCCACCCTCCTGGCTGAGGACAGAGCACAGCACTGGGATCATGAAAACACTCCAGCTCAGCCAATGACCAGGGCTGACTGAGGCATGTGGACTTACCAGACAACATCCATGGTGGTGGGTTCAGAATGATTACTGAGAAGGCAACCACAGATTCTTTCGAGCCAGTCTCACCCCAAACAGTGGAAAATGTAGTTTATCCCTGCAGTTTCTCTCCTTCCTTTATTTTCCCTTTTCTCTTCCCTCCCTTTAACAAGTATTTATTAGACAAAACCTAGGAGCCAGGCCCCAGGCTGGGCACCTGGACATCAGCACCGAATAAGAACTGGTCCCTGCTTCCCAAAACCTCTGGCTCTGGACAGAAAGAAAGACTGGTGTAAATTTAAAAAGCAGAGGGGCAGGGAGGGGTACTGTAACCATGGTGATCAAGGCTGAAGGGGGTAAGGCCTTAGCCGCAGTGTTTGTATCTAGGGAAGGTGCCCCAGCTCTGAGCCCAGGGAAGGAAGTGACAGACAGCTGAGAACAGAAAGGTTAAAACAGACAGGCATGGCAAGGAGGGCAGCTTGCCAAAGGAATTAGCACAGGGCTCCGTGCGGCTGGATGGAGCACTAAAGGAGCAGTTGGGCAACGGGAAGATGCACGGAGATAGGCTGGGGTCAGGCCCCAACACACTCTCCTTATCGTTAAAAGAAGTACAGACACCATGCTGAGGACAATGGGAGATACTGATGCTTCCTAGATGGGAGAATATAAGAATGCCCAAGGGTCGAAAACGGATTCAACGGGCATAAATTGGAGGTGTATGAGCCAGGATCTCAGCCCAGTGAGGGCTTCCTCATTTGAGGATTACTCTGCAAATACTACCCTGTTTCCCTGAAAATAAGACAGTGTCTTATATTAATTTTTGCTCCCAAAGATAAGGAAACCTGTAAGTAGGTCTTATTTTCTGAGAATGTCTTATTTTTGGGGAAACACGGTAGTACGTTTCCACAGCTGTGGCCAGCTCCCGGGTCACTGGGCTGCCAGAAGTGGCTTCCATTTAGAAACAGAGAGGCAAAAGGACACAGTAAGGGTCATGGGAGACGTTTTATGCCAAAGCCAGCACTGGGCTCCACTGGGGCACTCTGTGGCCCTTGTCCCATTAGTCTTCCTGATGACCCCACCATCATCAGTTCATAACTGAGAACAGTGTGGCTCAACAAGAGAAGTGACTTAGCCTAGGTCACAGAGCTAGTAAGGGTGAGACCAGAATTTGAACTCAGGTCCTCAGACTCCAAGCCCAGTGCTCTCTGCTCTACACCATGTTATCTCATGCAGGGGACAGTAAGGCTATGAAAAAAACACAAGAAGGAGAAGATTAACGAGCCAACAAAAGTCAGGACAGGCTTTGCAGAGACAATGAAGGTGTGTGTGAAGTGGGCCTGGAAGACCAGTAGACCCTGTGAGCAGTAAGGAGTGGTGATGAGGTGAACGGTAAGAAGGGATAGGAAGAGTGAAGAGTCCCAGTGAAGACTAAGAATGGCACATCCATGGGACATTTATACAAATGTAACCTAAGAGAAGTTTAATCTAAGTCTCAGGAGATTGAGACATTGAGGGTAGAATGAAAGGTCTGACACATGTACTAGCATAATCTGAATCCCAAAGAGGAAAGAAGAATAGAGAAGAGGCAATAGTTAAAGAGTGAGTGGTGGAGAATTCATTGAAAACTCATCATAGTGAAGCTGCGCAAAGCTACTCAATGTCTCATTTTGCCAACCAGAGAGAAAAAGCAGATTGCCTACAAAGAAGAAACAATTAAACTAATGGTTGACTTCTTAGCTGCAACAATTGAAGCCAGAGGACAATAGGATAATATTTTCAGTGTGCCAAGAAAAAAAATAACTGCTTAATTAAACTATCTTTCAAGAAGGGCAAAATAAAGACATATTCAGGGGGGGGAAATTGGGAGTTGATGACTAAGGGAATTCCAGGATGTACTTCAGGTAGAAGAAATATGATCATGGATAGAAAAACCTGAGATGCTAAAAGGAATGATAAATAGCATAGATATAGTGGGTCAACTTTTAAAAAATATACATATTGACTTACAAAATGATTGTAGTGGATAATTTGAGAGTCTAAGAAACTAGAACCATCTTATCGGGGAAAAAGAGGATTGGAGTTTAAATAAAACTCAGTTGGGTTAGGAAGAGGGTAAAGATATATATTAACTTTAGAATATGTTAAGTACACATGTTAAAGTACATATGTAAACCCCGAAAAGACAGGTTTGAGTGTGGTATAACCTCCCAACAACAGAAAAGAAAAACTACAATGAGAAAATTGTTTTTGATGATGCATGAAACAAACTAATGACTGAAAATAAATAACTGAAAAATAACTACACCATGATTCCATGTATTAAATTGAAAAGCCCACAAAGCTCAACACTACAGTTTTTGGAGTTCAACATAGTAACAGTAAATAAAGCA